GTTGCTTTAATTCCATATTCAGACTGTTCCACAGTTTCACTCCATGCACAGAAACACAAAAGCTTTTTCTTGTAGTACGGACCTTCCCTGTTTTGAAGTTGCAAAAACCCCTTAAATTATAACTTCCTTCATCATCAAAATGCACATGAAAATACTCCAAATCTTGATGGGAGAACTGGTGAATCTTTGGTTTCATTATGCACTCAAAGACTTTTCTCAAGCACTTAATGTTTATCAAATCAATTTACAACACAAGCTCACCTAATGTCTACCAGTTCCCATATCCAAGTCTCTGGGAAGAACGTACGGACTGTTATTATGGGTGAAAGGTCAGGAGGAGGTGGCGGAGCACCAGGGGCAGCTGATTCTGGTACTCTCGCTAATATGTCGAACCTGTGTGCTTGATAAGGACCCTTCCATAGGCACCCGCCTACAAAGAAAGCAGAAAAAGAGATTGAAACAGCCATAAAGATAACTGCTTCATTTTTCTTTCATCAGCATCACTCTTCAAAGTCACCTTGATAGTATTCTCTTCCTTTGTACTTGAGGCATGAAGGCAACTGAATACCCAAGTTGGTTGCCATCTTCAGTCCTACATTCTACATAATCCAGCACATACAAATAGTTCATTACAGGAAAAACAACAAAAAGCTTTTTACTAAATATGACTTACAGGTACGTATGCAGATTACCTGGAAAACAGTGTGGGCATCATTTTTGCCACTCTCAGGAAACGGCAGAATTGATCTTTTTGATCTCACTTCCATGCACTCTATAGGATCTTGAACCTCATATGGGACAAAGGTTGCTTTCCTGACAGGAAGCAAGTCATAAATCTGAAAGAAAATATATATGTATGATCTTTCTACTGTACACTTTGCCAGCTGTTCAAAAGAGAAAAGGAGGGGCTGTGCATTTGGTATTGAGCCTTCAACATCCAACATCCCACCTGACCTGGTGGTCGTTAAAAACGCTGTTACCTTTTCGGCATTTAGAGTCTTCCCTGGCTCCTTGATGAGGACACTCTGGTCGACGGCACTCACACCACACAGAGAGTACGGCAGGGCCGTCACCTGGAAGTTGGTCTTATCTCCTGGGACAGCTGAAGGTGGTACAAAATGTACCGACACCTGATGCACAAAACCCGAATGAAACCATCCAGATGTTAATATGTGAGCTGAACTCAGGATATCCAACGGTACTGGAGTTTTGGTGGCAACTTTGAACAAATATTTGGCAAGTAAAATCATGTGATACAAATGAGTCTGATTGTATTCTGTATAAATAAACACCTGTAATTCGAAATGACCTCAGGTTTTGTAAAATCTAATCTAAAATAATGAACATGGAAACATTACAATATGGCATAAAATGATAACAATAATCTTTTTGAGTTGAGGTTACTCACTTTGCAAAGTGCTAAAAA